CCAAACCCAAACCCAAACCCAAACCCAAACCCAAACCCAAACCCAAACCCAAACCCAAACCCAAACCCAAACCCAAACCCAAACCCAAACCCAAACCCAAACCCAAACCCAACCCAAACCCAAACCCAAACCCAAACCCAAACCCAAACCCAAACCCAAACCCAAACCCAAACCCAAACCCAAACCCAAACCCAAACCCAAACCCAAACCCAAACCCAAACCCAAACCCAAACCCAAACCCAAACCCAAACCCAAACCCAAACCCAAACCCAAACCCAAACCCAAACCCAAACCCAAACCCAAACCCAAACCCAAACCCAAACCCAAACCCAAACCCAAACCCAAACCCAAACCCAAAAGATTCATCTCATGATCATGACCATGTCTCTCACAATGGCAACTAATCTGAATTATTGTCTCTGTTGTGATCATGGTCATCATCAAGTGTCACAACTGTCACTATACCCTCTATGTGATGTCTACTACGTGTGTTATCATTTACAAGTTCGGTTCAAATCATGTTACTGACAGTGTCCCTCCTCCTGGGGTGACAAATTTTTCCCTGGAGGTATTTGGTTGACCAACTTTAGGGATGCTCCACGGTCCGAGGGTGTCTCCCAACCTCTCATATTTCATTTATATATCATTCATGAGTACTACTATCATTGAAGGATTATGGGGCATGATTACATGTCTGCATCAATTTTTTAATATATCAACCTGAGGGCTATGAAATTTACCGTCGCACAAGTTCCAGCGAAAACGTGAAATTTTTTTCTTTCTTGTGAACGACATGTCAGAACAAATAACCGAGCAAGATCCTATCGTTTTAGGTCCTATGACAACTAAATATGTTGTTTATTTGAAAATTACAAATTTTTGGCATCACTGAATGGGCAATATTCCCAAACCCAAAATCAAAATCAAAAACAAAAACAAAAACCCTACCAACTCATTTTAATCTTGATGATTCATACACTAATGATGAATATTATTGGTTGTTGATCATGTAGAGATGAAGTACTCTAAATCGAATTTTAAATCATGATGATCACTGATGAATAAATCGTCGTTGATGAAGCTAATTTTTTCGAAATTCTCCCAATTCGGAGACATGAATCCTTTTGCAAAATTAATAGTATTCACCACAACGGAATGATGTTGTAGTGTAATTAGTAATCATTTCAAAATTTGAAAAACATTTTCTGGGATGTCAAAAGCAATCAATGAACCATTTTCTATTAACATTATACGATCTGAGTCGGTAATAGTGTTCAAGCGATGAGCAATATTGAGAACAGTCTTGTCTGAGAACTCTTTTTTCAAGCTTTCTTGAACAGTGAAATCTGTCTCTTCATCAATATGAGATGTAGCTTCATCCATTATTACTATCTTTGAATTCTTAAGAAGAGCTCTACAGATACATAGTAATTGACGCTCTCCCATTGAAAAATTCTCTCCATTCTCGGACACTGGAAATTGTAACTCATTATCCATTTGTAAAACTCTATCTTTCATGTTAACTTTCTCCAAAGCATGCCAAATTTTCTCATCTTCAAATTGATTAAGAGGATCAATGTTGAATCTTAATGATCCAGAAAACATGGAAGATTCCTGAGGTATGACTGCAATTTTAGACCTCAACATTTTAACACTAATGTTCTCAATGTCCACATCATCGATCTGTACAACGCCTTGCACATAACCAGCTGAACGCGTGAGAATAGACAACAAGCTGGATTTTCCAGACCCTGTTCTTCCAATAATTCCGATCTTCTCTCCTTGATGAATTTCCACATTGATGTTGTTTAACACAAACTCGGAATCTGTACTATATTTCAAAGAGACGTTCTTCAACATAATAGTTCCATTGGAGGGCCAATCAGTGATTGAAATTTCATTATTTGACTCTTCATGTGGTAGTTCTTGACAATAATGAAGAATTCTCTCAATAGCATTCATATCATTTTCCAAGTCTGTGGAGTACCGTACCAACCACTCTGCGTTATTGGTGACAGATAATGCATAGGAAAGGCATAAACCTGTCATGGTAGCTGAGACATGACCTATCAGACACGATAATGCTGTAAATAGAACCACACTCACCCCAAAAAAATTTCAATCTAAGAGCAATCCATCTCTGAGCAACAATTTGTGTGAAGATGGCCAGGTTAAGTTGGTCAACCAGTCTTTCGTTTTCTTTTGTATAGATGTTTTGCTTTCTTTGAGAGCGAATAACACTACATCCTTTGATGGTTTCCATGAAGTGCGAAAGCAGAGGACTCTTACTGGTTGAAATAAGTCTCTTAATTTCACATCCTGTTTTTTGATAATATATTTGAGTCCTCCAGTATATGATAATTCCTGGAATAATTGGAATCATGAACCATGGAACAATAATAGAAATAACTAGTAATGTTCCAAGCACAGAGAAAAGGCAGCCCAATAGTGACTTGAACGAAGTAATTAAGGAATTGTCAATGATTTCAATATCACTAGAAAATCTATTCATGATTCTTCCAACAGGTGTTGTATCAAAAAACACAATTGGAGCAGCCATCAACTTGGAAAATGCTGTGTCGTGGAGTTTTTTAGCAGCTTTTAAACCGAACACACTCATCAATACTTCTGAAAGGAAAATACAAACTGCACATCCAATACCAAGTGCAATGTAAATGCCTATGAATAGTGATTGTTCAGTTGTTGAATTAATGGCACCACTATTCGTTTGTTTGGACCAAAATGCTAAAAACCAGCTGTTCAATGATTGAACCGTTTGTGACAACGTGAAAAGAGCCAGAATGACAACAGTAGGGATAATACCACCCATGTAGGACAAGTATTGAAGGTATAACTTGTAATCTATATGTCCCTTTGCTCTGTCTTCTTTAGATTTTTGAGGAGCTTTGATTTTCTTGTTTTTTAACGGAGGATCCAACTGTATATGCTTGTTTGAATCTTCTGACATGTGTTGCAAATATTCCTTATGAAAGTTTTCATCTTTGGGGGAACCTTGTGCCATTAATTGACCTTCTTTCATCACAACAACATGATCGGCAAAATTACAGAACTGTAATTGATGAGTTACAAGGATTCGAGTTTTGTTTGCCAAATATCCACAAATGCAGTGATGAAAAACGCTCGTCCTAACATT